TGGAGTTCCATGATCTTCTGATCACGGTGAATTTCTCTCTGATGGAGCAGAAGAACTAACTTCACTAATGGGACCTGGATTGGTACTTTAACATCAGGGTTCTCTATTTGATACATCACAGCATCAAGCTCCTTGCTACGCTGTTCTTCAGTGAGGTCCCTAGAAGGGTAGTTGGGTTCCCAGGTGACCACAACCAGTTTGGACAGTATTCTTCCAGAAAGTAGGCCAGGTCCATAGTCGTGGGCCGCAGCGCCACCTGGTTGCTGGGAGCTGATCAGGTTAGGGCTGAAACGATTCCTCGAGTACCTCGAATAATTCGAGTACAAAAAATCCTCGAGTCAAATTCTCTGCCTCGAGGATTCGTTTAATTCATATTTAATTAATTCATGGCTTTGCAATCGCCCGGGGTCATGTTTCACCCGGACCGAAATAAGTGACGCACATGCCCACTGGACTGAAGCGAATGCAACTTAACTTTCTCTTAAGCCATGGGGGACAACGTGGACCCCGGTGGAGTGCGAAAAAGACAGAAAATGTCAAAGTTGTGGGACCATTTTTCACGTCGTAAGGTGGAAAACGTAGTCCAGTGTAAATACTGTAAAATGGATTTAGCCTACCACAACACCACATCCTCCAAGCTACAGCACCTGTAAATGTCACGTCTGCAAGCGGACTCGGAGCTTCTACAAGATAATGCTTTTTAGCCTGTATTTCTATATATTCTGCGGACACTGTGCGACTTTTTCGTTTGTAGCACTCAGTTTCAGCTCACACCGTACGTCTGGTAGCAACACGTCGGACTTAAAATGTGCTAAAAAATATTAGTTTTTACACAATATGTCGGACTTTTTATTGTGTTGTTATTGATGTTTGTTGTCCCTCGGGATCGCTGCAGGAGGACACGGGTATTTATGAGAGTGGTGGAGGAAAACGAAAGAAAGTAAATAAATGTTTTGTGATCAGTATAATTTGACAAAACCACAGCAAACATGCTTTCTCGACAATCCTTGTTATTGTGTGAGAAAAAAAGTGTAGAAATTAAAACGGACGTGTGTTAATAGGGAAACAGCCGGCGAGCTGTTTGCGCATGCGCCGTGAGCGGTTCTGGTTCTGTTTGGGCCGCAGCCGCTCGCAGCGCTACTTCAACGTTATCCTCCTAGTTTTTGTCTGGCTTGCAGGCTAGTAGATTCTCGCACGAGGGGAAAATCGGCTCAGGTTGTATACTTATTTTTTGCACACGCATTTGTTTACTGTGAAGTAAAGTTGAAATGCTGAAGTTTTGCAAACTAATTTTGAATAAAACTTGAAGAATAACTGGCAATTGCTTGCTCATTTTAAGAGGTCTTTCATATTTTATAACATGCTATTTGATATAATGGTTTACAAACACAAAAGGGTAATTTATTAGAGTACTCGATTAATCGAAAAAAAGATTCGATAGAGTACTCGATTACAAAAATATTCGATAGCTGCAGCCCTAGATCAGGTCACTACTCTGATGCTCCATTTTCAACAACTGAACCAAAAATAGCCTAGCAGAGCTCTGCAGAGCTCAAAAGCTGCACCTTTTGGCAGCAACTGCTAGCTTGTAGCAGAAACACTAAATTAACCTCTTGGTGCACACAGGTTTTAGTGTTTAAAATACACAGAATGCCATGACTAATGCATAAAATACTATTCCCTTCAGTATTTTAGCAAAAAGCTGTACTGGTGCGTTGCCGTAGCAACGTCTTACAGCACTTGCAGTGTTAAAAGTGCTATTTATTCCTTCAGAATATTAGCAAACCGTGTTATCAGTCTTTGATTGAAGGTTTTAGTTAGTTATAATTAGCCACTGTGAGTTAAAGTTGCTAAATTAGCAGTTAATTTTAACCTAAAAGGTTAGCCAGAATTACTTACACATTGTACCTTTAAAGAAGCTCTGAGTCACTGGTGAGAGTCTGAGCAGCTTCTTGGTTGATCTAAAACAAGATGACTTCCTGTCTTGACCGGGCCGGCCAGGAGAGGGAGCCAAAACACTGCTCAGTGAAATCAACACCACCCTGTTGCTGGTTCAAGGCTGACCAGCCACAAGGAACCAAAGAATTTGTTTGTGTGTATAAAAATCAATCTGCGGTGTATCGTTGCCTCACACGGGCAGCTCCATATAATGTTGTGACTGTAGGTCAACGAATAATTTGTAAGCTTTTACTTACTTTTTGGATTCTTCAATAAATTCGTAAATATGGAAATATTTACCGATTAATTAATTAATTAGGATATCCGGAGATATCTATGGGGCACCATCCCCTTTTAACAGGGGAAAAATTGAATCCAAAACTATTATCAATCTCGTCTAAACGTTCCGTGAATCCTAACGAGCTGCAGTTGAATAATTCACATTACACAAACTCAATCTGAGACAAAAATCTTAATTGGCTATACATTTATTAACTAATATCATCACTTCAGCTCCTTCTGAAGCGTTAATCAATCAGTATCAACCAACTGATTTTATCAAATGAATAACAAGTAATTAGACAATGAAATAATAATGTAAAACAATCTGACCCAATAAGTGTGTGTTTTAGCTTGAGTCCCCCCCAAACGCTAAAAACAAGTATGTGTGTGTGCCCCCCCAAACAGGGAAAACCAGAATGTGTGTGTGTGTGTGTGTGTGTGTGTGTGTGTGTGTGTGTGTGTGTGTGTGTGTGTGTGTGTGTGTGTGTGTGTGTGTGTGTGTGTGTGTGTGTACGTGTGTGTGTGTGGGTGGGCAACTTGCACTTTAAACTTCCGAAGCACTTTCAATCACAGTAACTTAAACTTAATTCACTCAAAACACTTCAAAAAGATAAAGAAAAAACACAAAAGATCAATCATAAATGAATATCTGATAGTTTGTCAGTCTGGCCACAGCATAAAAACTATTTAAGATATTAAACAATGACAAACAACAAAACGGCTTACTCTTAAAAGGATCCGATGGCGTTTTTGGTACGGAGAAGAGAAAACCGATATAATTTGAAGCAATAGCGCGGTTTTATTGCTTGTTCTGAACTATAGGAGAAACGGAAGAAGAAGTTAGATAGGAAAAAAACAAAAGCTTGCGTGAGCGAACCCCCAAGGCGTCCCTTTTGTGTTCGCGCTGCAGGTCAGATGGTTTCTCCGTTGATTTGATGGTTTTCCGCTGCTTTTCCGCGTCTCGGCGTTGTCCACTTCAGCCGCCTGGCCTCATGCACAATCTGTCCGGAGCCGTAGCAAACGGGTGTCTTCAACCACCAGCTGAAGCTGGAACAAAAGACGAGTTAAGTTTCATTTCGTCTCCCTTTTGTAGACTCTGGCGGTCCGGCGGGAGAAACTGTGTGGCTCCCGCACATGCGCAGAACTTGTTTCCGGTATTCGGCGGTGACGTCATCACATTGCTTCCGGCTCAAGGAATCATGGGAAATGAAGTTGTAGCTGGCGCTGATGTTTAATATTATCTGCTTTTTCAGAGCGCAGATGACAGTTTTTGGAGAAAATGCTGCATAGCAATTTTCTCATGAGGGCATGCTGGCGCTGGAACATATTCCAGCTTTTCAGAGCAAATGACACAGTCTTTTGGAGAAAATACTGAGTAGCAATTTCTCATGAGGGCAGACCCTCTACAGTAGCAACAAAGTATATAGCTATGGCATGGAAATCTCTCCATAGACCCAATGTGAAGAACTGGATGAAACAGATGTTACAGGTAATGCCGCTGGAATGGATTACTTATATCTTAAAAGCCAAGCAACACTTATTTGACAAAATATGGACACCTTTTCTAACATATATTAAGAAGATGGACATAAAAATCTGAGGACTTATAAAGTGGGAGAGTATAGGAAAATACTCGGTCTTCTGACCAGCATTAAGACTGGAATGGGAGAAGCAAAAGCGAGGTGTAATTCGGGGACTTCTTGCTCACAGTTTTGTTAAACATGTCTATGTGCATATTGCCTTCAGTACTATATATGCTCTTACGTTGGAGAGGATCGCCAAAAGCCAAAGCACAACCAAAATTTTTATATTGTTCTACTGTTCTGTTGTTCCCTGATGATTTTATACAGAATGTACTTTCAATATACAACATAATACTGTGTAAAAGGTGTACACAGAAAATTTAATAAAATATACTTTTTGAAAAAAAATGTAGTCAAAGATCCATCAGATTGATATTTCATATTTCTATGGAATCTCACATTTTATGGTTCATAAGTAAGATGGAAACGACTCATTCTTTACAAGTGCACAAATAACTCAGATTATAAACTTTACAACATTAACAAAATATAGCACCAAGGATCTGTGCAGGACAACCTGCCAAGAATGTGCATTGTTAGTTATAGACGTTATGGTGCATTTAATCTTTAACTGACACCTCTAATGGTTTATTACTCTTAACATTTAGTATAATGGGGCAATTTCAAAATTTACCACATTGCAATGGCCATGTCCTCCCATTTGAAGATGTTTGTCTTTTTATGCAAAATTCACTCTTGAAGACAAATAATTTGATATAATTTTTTTGAAAGCTATGGCTTTAGTAAGACTGCTGCAGCCTTTTACTGCGGTCAGGCCTATACAATTAACAGCATCACATAATTTCTTCACCAATAAATAAATTATGAAGTATCAACAAAATTTTTTTTACTTATTGAGCTCATTTATTCTCATCACGTTCTAACTGATTAAAATATGGAGTGTGTTCATAATTATGTGTTATAAATTACTGTAAAAAAAGCTTTTCTGATCAAAGTGACTTACCAATGAAACTTTAGCACTGTTTATATTTTCTGCTGGTTTCAAACTACTCCTTCGGAAGACTCTTGTTTGTTCTCATAATTAAGAAAATGATCTATTCAGACACTTTAAAGTTTAAACAGTGGTCTCAGTGTGGCCACAAAATAAAACGCGCGGAGAAAAAGTGCAGGTTTCGACGCTAGGGGGCAGTGTGCTGTGGTGAAGCCGCCGTTTGTAGTAGAATAAGAAAACGCAGAAGGCTAAAAGGAAATCTCAGGCTGGATTCGACCGCCAGAAGAAGAAGAAGAAGAAAGCTGGATTCGACCGTTCGCCACAGCCCTAGGTTCGCCGCGCAAAACAAGCTATAAACCGTCATAATGGTGAGTATCTAACCTCTAGTTGTGGGTAGTTGAGAATATATTATTTAATTGGTCATCTTTGGTTCGGCTGACGGAAACCGTGTTAACATTTTTAATAAATTATACCGAAGTGAAAGCTTTAAGATGCTAAGCATGTAGCTAAAATAAACCGTAACATTTAGCTTTATTCAGGAGCCAGTAGACCTACCACAACTTCAGAAGTGTTGTTGTGTTATAAACGTGTTTAAATGACCTGATTTAATTCTGTAGTTTTATGGGTTCGGGGTGAATTACTCTATATTCTCATAAGAACAGCAAAAATTACCTTGTTCCTCACACTGGATGCCAAATGTATACGTTTGGGTGTAAAAACTAGATTTTAAAAAGTTAAAGAAGCATGCAAAATACAGTAAATTAATCAAAATATGAACTGCAAAGAAACTATGCAGAGTTGTTGCACACGTTTGTGCAAGTAATGTGCCACATTAGCTGGAACGTGTATCAGTTAGTTAAAGGCGGATTATAATCCCAGTATCAGATAAAGGTACAAAATAAACAGGTTAATAATCAGACTGAAATGTTAATGTACCAAGTAGAAATTAAGCGTCAGGAGCTCAGCTGTTCAGAAGTCTGGTGGCTGTGGGAAAGTGTGTGCCTCCTGTCTGAAGGTAAAACTGTTGATGTTGGGAGTGAAGAGCCTCTGATCGGGTGGTTGCTCTCCAGTAGACTCTGGATTCTTGGTTTCATGCGGTTTATTATGCGTCAGAAATAATGCTGTAAATGAGGTCTATTCTGTTAAATTAGATTTTAATCTGGTGTTTTATTTTCAGCTTCCCCTGTCACTCTTAAAGACCGCTCAGAATCATCCCATGGTGAGACAAAACCTTGATTTTAAGTCTGATATTCTTTACAATATTGTATCCTTTAGGCTGTGTCATTTGTTATGTGAAGAAGCATCTGTTCTCTATGTAAATAATAACCTGCTTTAGTAAATTACAAGTGAAACTTAAAAAAAATACAGTATGGTGCAAAAGGTCGTTTATTTCAGTGATTGAACTAAAAAGTGAAACTAATGTATGAGATGGACTCATTACATGCAAAGCCAGATGTTTCGGCCTTTATCTGTTATATTTGTTATGATTTTGCCTTACAGCTTATCAAAACCCCACATTCAAAATATCAGACAACTAGAATATTGTGAAAAGGTTCATATTCTAGCCTCAAAGAGTCACACTCTAATTAGCTAATGATTAGAGCTAATTTTTTGTTCTTGACTTTAGTTTAGTTTGTCTGATCTGTTATTAGAACTTGCTCATTGTATGATTTTTAGCTTATAAAGCAGTGTGCTCTTTATTAGCTGGTGGAGCTGAAGAATGGAGAGACCTACAACGGTCACCTGGTCAGCTGTGACAACTGGATGAACATCAACCTGAGAGAAGTCATCTGCACATCCAGGGTGAAACATGCTTCTCCCTTTAATAAAATGTGACCTTTTGACAAAGGGAAAATACCAAAATATTTTAATTTGCTTAATGTGCTTTCATATTTGGTCTCTCATGAGACATTTGTATGTATATTTGCACAACTGTGTTGTGAAGGACAGCCTGCCTATGTGAACTGAGAAGTCTGCAGAATCCTGCACTGAAACTATCAGAACAGCTTCAGACAACAGCTGAGATACAATGATTGATTCATAGTGACTGTAAGAACAGACACAGTGCGCTAACTGGACCATCAGTGACTGTAATAATTTTTAAATTGTGCAGCTTTGTGGTGTTTTTGTACATGTAAACAAAAGAAAGATGGGTGATCACAACTAAACATGATCATTTGCCTATTATCCCCTCAGTCGGGTTTATTGTGCTAGACTTTAGGTAAATTAACATAAATGCAAAATAGAAGTGTTATTAATTGAGGAATTTAATTTAAACAGAAACTCTCACCATCTTTTTACAGGATGGAGATAAATTCTGGAGGATGCCTGAGTGCTACATCCGAGGAAGCACCATCAAATATCTGCGTATCCCAGATGAGATCATTGACATGGTGAGGGAGGAGGTGGTGTCGAAAGGACGAGGTCGCGGCGGCTCTCAGCAGAATAAACAACAGGGCAAAGGAAGAGGAGGGCCCGGCCGAGGTGAAGGATGCCGTTTGATCAGGTTGGTTTTGAACTCATGTAGAATTGATTTGTTGGACTGAACACAGCTGTTCCTGTAGGTGTGTTTGGTGGTCGTGGGAGAGGGATGTCTGGGCCTGGTCGAGGACAGCAGCAGCAGCAGGATAAGAAAGCAGGAAAACCACAGGGGATGAAAAACCAGCACTGACACACAATGATGCTTCGTTTGTTTTAAACACTTCCTGTTGAGGGACGTCTGCCTCAGTAACAATGACATCAACTCTGCTGTTTCTCTCTGTTGTGATGTTTACAACAACCGATTGTTGCCAGATAATACTTAAGTTTGATTTTTTAAATCCTTTTTATTGGTGTAGAAAAGTCGAGGCCCAAATTTAGTTTAGTAGATATTTTAACTGGCTTTTTCCTCATTTCTGTAGTTTACTTCCAGCTTTGTTATCTGAAAGATTTTCTTTATAACCACAGCTGGTGAAGCAGTAGAGCGACAGCCAACAGGACTCACTTCCTGAATATTTCTGTTTAAACCTTTATAAGACGGCATGCACTGATTATGCTTTCTGAAAAAGAATAAAACGTTCTCTTATTCTCTAGTCCAACATGGAGGAGTCCATACTTCCTTGGGTTGATTGTGTTTCGCTTAATTTTTGTAACAAACGACATGGTAATTTATTTACGAGAATAAAAGTTTGTTTGAGCAGTTGCAGTTTTCCTTTAAATCTTCTGATTGTCATTTATTTACAACAGGTGTGTTTAAACTGGACATGGCCTTAAAGCCAGCAGCTTTCATTAGCAGTAAAAGGGCAGAAGGCCCAAAGGGGAAGTAACACAAACTTAATCTGAATAAAATATACAGCAGAAAGTTAAATTTAAGGACTAATCACAGAATTGGATCATTTGACCTTTAAATTTTTTGTATTTTTGAGCCGTTGTGGCTACAGATGATTAAAAACTAGAAGTTTAGCAGATATTTAGAATATTGTGGAAAAGTGAAATATAGTAAACTCATGACGTCACATCCTAATCACCTTATCAATGCCAGAGGCATGCTTTCAGCACCAACACACCTGGTTTGAATCAATGTGATTAACAGCCGATTTGAGGCTCAGGAAACCATTACAGGTGTTTGTGGGTGATAAGCTGATTAGGGTGTGACATGAGTCTCCAATATTTAATCTCTATACAATATTACTAATAAAATAATTTCATTCTGTAATTCACTTTCTGAAACTACTCAATGAAACTTTTCCCACTATATTTAATTTTTAAGAAATGCAGCTTTTTCCTTTAAGACCAGGTTCTTCTTTCTTCTCCGTGAGCCTTGGCCTCCATATTTCAAACTAAAACTAGATTTTAGAACAATTGAATAGCCCTGATCTAGACCTGGAGCAGTGGGATATGTGATTGTGTGGAAGACGACCATTAAAAATGATAATGGGTCGAGTTCAGATGAACCAGATATGGAAAGGCAAGAAAACACCACCAGAGGAGCCATCAAACCTGGTAGCAGCAGGCCCACCGCAGCACCCGAGGTACCCACACAGGGTGAAAACGGGAGGGAGGTCATAGGCCCCACCCAGGCAGCAACAATTGACAACCACCCCCGAAGCAAAGGACCCCCCCCACACACACAGAGGAAATACAGGTGAATTTGATCATTTTCATGTTTGCTTTTATAGAGCCGATAGAATGACGAATGCTGAGTCTGTGGCGTCTAAAGGTCAGATCCAAAACGACCGATTTTGTCACACAGCTGGAGCTAAACTGGACTGAGGCATCAATAAGCTGTAGATACATATTTGAAGCCTGAAGTCTTCTTTGCAGTGACATTTCATGACAAGATGGTGGTTCACTTGTTCAAACTGAATCAACAAAGATTGTTAATGTAAGCGGTTTGAAAGATGAATGTTCATCTGCAGGTGCAGCAAAAAACATTTGGAGCTGAAGCTGTCTTCACGATGCAGCTGACTCCGCTTCTTTCTTCCTTTTTATCTGTCTTTTCTTCATCGCTTTCTTTTTTAATTGTCCGTGGTTCTGCCTCTGAACACTCTCCCGGATTTTCTGTTTGAACTTCTTCTTCTGGCTCCTGATCTTCTCCAGCTCAGCTTTCCTTTTAGCCTCCAGGTCCGGATCCTGAAACGGCAGGTTCCCAAATCAGTAACAGGAATTTGACAAATGATGCCCTTAGCTTGTTCCCAGACTTGAGCTGAACAAAGAGACTTGGGCTGTTGTTTAGATGCTGCTTCCTGTTCAGCTCCAAATCCTAAACGTTTTAAACGCACAAACTCCCCAAAAACGTTCAAACTAAACTGCTTCCTTCAGCGTGTTGCTTCAGATTACCAACACCAGGCTCACTGGTCGTGGTGGTGGATTACTAACCATGTTCAGATCCTCTTTCCATCCTAAAAAACGTACTATACCGGTGACTCCAACCAGCTTTGAGTTTATGGCTTTTGAGGTGGACTTTAGTCCTCCGCTGCGGTTTATTCTCTGCTATCGCCCATCTAAGTACAATTCAAACTTTTTATCGGAATTTTCAGATCTTTTAACAGACTTTCTTCCAAAATATGACTGTGGGGTTATTCTTGGTGATTTAAATATACACGTTTGCTGCCCTGACAAACCTCTTGTTGGTGGCTTTTTAGACATTTTAGATTGTTTTAGTCTCCAGCAACAGGTCCAGTCATCCACCCATTCAGGATCGCACATTTTAGACTTGGTTTTGTCATTTGGGATCTGTATCTCTGATCTGATTGTTGACTCTGCATGCATCTCTGATCATTCTCCTATCATTTTCCTCTCCACTGTTGCTTTATGCTTGCTTAGTATGAGGATTGCTGTATAGTCACTGACACTAGTCAGTGACTTGATGCAATTTGCTGGGTTCCTTATATAGGAAACATTATTTCTGATTGGCTTAATGAACTGTGAATTTGAATGTTTATTATGTGAAGTGCCTTGAGACTACTTGTCGTGATTTGGCGCTATATAAATAAACTTGAATTGAATTGAATTTGTAATATCTGTGGCTTGACGCCTCCATCCACTAGGCAACATAATCAACACATTACAAGAATAATTTCCCCTTTCATCACCAATCTATTAGCATCTAGCCTAGCTGCGACTCTATCCACTTCCCAACCTGATTCCACCTGTGTAGGAGTTGAGGGGCTGCTGACTAGGGTTGTCACGGTAACCGGTATAGCGGTAAACCCCGGTAAAAAAGTTGACAATAAAAATAACCGTCCGTTTTTTTAAAAACTAAATTATCTCGATGGGTTTACCGTGGCTGCGGTTTCGGCGCGGTGACCCTTACCAGCCACCGTCGCTTCAGCTGAAGTTCACGCACACGCACTTTTTAGTTTGCAACGGCACCAAAACTTTGAAGCTGAAATAATGGCCGAAGGAGGAGACGGCAGCGCCCAGGACATCCATCAGCCCTCAAAGAAGACTAAATCGGAAGTATGGGCATATTTTGGATTTCTGAAAAATGCTGAGGGACAGTTAATAGAAGACGGCTATCCCGTTTGCAGAACGTGCAGGAAACAAGTGTCTGCAAAAGGCAGCAACACTTCGAATCTAATGGCACATCTGCGTGACCATCACCCACGTCTCTACAGCCAGTGCAAGGTAGGTTAACATTAGCATTTTAGCTTAAATGCATGACGTGAGGACTTTTGGTTGAGGGAGAATGCAACGAGTCACTATATACTGCAGCCGCAGCGCCCTCTGCCAGCATTTAAACCGTGTCACGGACACCCTGTTGCTGGATGAAGCATCTTATTTGTTGATGATGAAGAGAAATATACAATTAGTTCCTTGTCATTGATTTGTTTGCTTATTCAATGCCATTTATAATTGAACATTTGGATTTGATTACATCGTGTAGTAGTTATTTTAGTAATTTGTTTAAAGTGGCTATTTATTTTAAATACATATTTTTAAGGTTGACTTGTACAGTGCTCAAGTCAAGTGTGGACTGGAGTTTTAGATTTTCATTTTGATAATGAAGAAAACAAGTATATGAGAAAACAAGTGGTGTTTCTTTGATTTGTTTACATATTGTTTATGTTTTGAATGTTTGGATTTGTATAATTTAAACCTGCACTGACTACTGTAACATGTTCCAGAAAAAGAAGCTATTTGTTCCTTTACTTGTGAAAAGTTGCACTTTTGCTAAGGCTTTGTGTTATTTTAGGTTTAATAAACAATGTTAAACCTTTTCAGAACTATTTCAGTTTGTGTAGAACAGGACTATCAATGCTTTCTGAACATATGCAACACCGTTTAAAAAATACCGCGATAATACCGAAAACCGTGATAATTTTGGTCACAATAACCGTGAGGTTAAATTTTCATACCGTGACAACCCTACTGCTGACCTCTTTCAACTCTACCTGCTCAACTGTTTTAAATACAGTCGCTCCTCTAAAATCCAGGCATAAAAAAACTGTGGCAGACCCTTGGCTCAATGAGGAGACTTGTGCCCTAAGACGCCAATGTAGGGTCTGCGAATGCCGGTGATGGAAGGACAAGCTGCAAATCTCCTACCAATTATTTAAAGATTCTTTGACCTGCTATCAGAAAGCTGTACGCACAGCTAGAAACAGATATTTTGCAAATATGATCACTAGGCATAAAAGCGACCAGAAGAACCTGTACAGTGTCCTCACCTCTGTACTATCCCTTAGAGAATCTCCCAACTCTTCTCCCTCTACAGGGGCTCTTTGCAATGAGTTTCAAAACTTTTTCCTGCATAAAATCCAGGAAATTAGAACCAGTTTCTCATACTCAGGCTGGGTTACCTGTGTGGAACCTCACTGTCCACCCTCATTCTCTTGCTTTGCTCATGTGACACTCTCTTCCCTGGTTGATCTAATCTTGGCTATGAAGCCCTCAGGCTCTCCAGAGGACAGCCTTCCTCCAAGACTGCTGGTGGCCCCTGCTGTTTTGGATATGGTCAATTCCAGCTTCTCCTCTGGTGTGTCCAGCTGCTTTTAAAAATGCAGTTGTTCAGACGCTATTAAAGGAACCAGGCCTTGACCAGTCTGACTGTGCCTATTATCGCCCAATCTCAAAACTTCCATTCAACTCAAAAGTAGTTGAGAAACTGGCTCTCACGCAGCTTACTTCTCACCTAGATGACAATGGGCTTCTTGACCCATTCCAATCAGGTTTTAGACGTAATTACAGCACAGAATCTGCACACATTAGGGTACTCAATGACATCCTGATTCTAACGGACTCTGGCTGTGCTGTTACGGTTACTCGACCTGACTGCAGCATTCGACACTGTAGACCACACCATCCTACTTCACAGACTTGAATTTTGGGTGGGTGTGACCGGTACTGCCCTCGAATGGTTTAAGTGATACCTTAATGGTCGGTGTTTTAGTGTTCATGTTGGAGACTGCTCTTCTCTCAATGTCCCACTTCCATGAGTACCGCAGGGCTCCATCCTGGGTCCTCTCTTCAATTTGCATGCTACCACTTGGTAAGATTTTAGCAAGTCTTGGGGTTAACTACCACTTTTATGCAGATGATTGCCAGATCTACCTTCAAATCAACCAACAGCACTCATTTTCTCTAATGTCAGAATGCCTAACCCAGGTCAGATCCTGGCTTTCTCAAAACTGCCTACAGTTAAATGACAGCAAATCAGATACCATACTTTTTAGCCCCACTAACATGAATGGTGCTTTAGATGTCTCAACTCTCCCACTCAATCTCAAATCATGTGCCACTAGCCTAGGTGTGAAACTGGACTCTGACCTTTCAATGTCTTCACAAGTCAACGCTACTGTCAAGTCCTGCTTTTTCCAACTCCGCCGCATCACTCGTCTTAAGTCAATCCTCAAACGCCCGGATCTTGAGTTAGTCATTCATGCTTTCATTACTTCACGTCTGGATTACACAAATTCTGTCCTGATTGGGATTAATGCTTCAGCCTTAAGCAAACTGCAGAAGGTTCAAAATGCCGCGGCCAGATTTTTAACCAACACCGACAGACGCATGCACATCACACCCATCCTCGCAGATTTACACCGGCTCCCAGTCAAATTTAGGATTAACTTCAAGGTCTTGTTATATGTTTACAAGGCTTTGTACTGCCCATCCCCATCCTATCTGACGGACCTGCTGACCCCGTATGTTCCCACCCGTGCCCTTCGGTCAGCAGATCACCTGCTGCTTGTTGGTTCGGTTTGAATCACAGGGGGAGCGTGCCTTCTCTTATGCAGCCCCAAAACTCTGGAACTCTCTGCCCTTCCGTGTGCGTCTGGCTCCCTCTGTTAGCAGTTTCAAGTTGGCCCTGAAAACGTACTTCTTTAGTATTGTCTTCCCTCCGTGACACTTTTCATGAAAATCTAGCACCGGATTTGACTTTTTAATTCCGTTTTTATGATTCAGTTGCACACTTTTGGCACCTCGCACCATCTGGTAGCTTATTTCATTGTATTTGTGCCATTTCAAATGTTTTTATCATTCGTCGCATAATTTTATTTTTTATAGTGCTGTTAACTGTTCTCCTATTTTATTGTTTTTAGTAGGAATTTTTATCTCCAACTATTTATGCTTTGTTCTTATGTATTTTGCCTGTTCTTATTGTGTTTCTTGTTCAAGCATTTGGCTTTTTTTATGTACAGCACTTTGGTTAGCTGCCATGCTATTTTGAAATGGTGCTTTATAAATATGGTATGGTATTAAGCTCAGATCCAACAGATGTGTGACTGTTTATTAAAAGCACACTTGCCTTTCCCTCCAGAATCAGCTGTTTTCTTTTGTTTATCTCCTTTTTCTCATCAAAGTCTGTTGAGTCGAGTCTCTGCAACACAGATTTCTCCGTTAAAGTTGGACATCTTCACCACTACAGTGAGTAAATGAGTGAATATGAAGACACTCGTACTATTTCACACTCTCGTCGGGTCACGTTGACCTGCGTGAGGATCTTCAAGACATCCTTCTCCTTCACTGGATAGTCCTTCAGCTTGGTGTCTGCAGACGCACAATGGGCCAGTGTGTTACTATGGTAACCATAACATGCTGTTTAAACCAAGAGAATCCTGCAAGAGCTTAAAGTCTCTAGATCAGATGTGTCCGCAGTGTGGTCCTCGCTAGTTTTTTTTTTTTTTTTTTAGAATCGTTTTAATTAAAGAGCAAGTCACCCCCAAATCACATTTTTTTGCTGATAAACTATATAAAGGAGTGTCTAATCATGCTACAGACACGTGTAGTCAATAATTTGGCAGTTCAGTGCATCTTGGTTAAAATTCAAATATTCTGCCTAAAACTGTCAGTGTTGCGCCGTCGTTAGGGAAAAATTCTGCACTGTATTTGAATTTAAATCTGCCACCACTATTGGCTAAGAGGTATGCTATGATGTCATCTGGTACATTATGATGTCATAATGCCATTGTGAGCCTGTATGTGTGTGTATTTGTTAGCGGCTCCGCCCTCTCGGTCTGCCAAGCAACAGCATTTGTTGCATTTTTCAAACATGAAGTGGGAGTGAAGTAAGTTTCTTGTAGGGGCTGACTTGCTCTTTAAGTCTCTCCAGAGGGCTGTTGATATTTTAATATTCTACGTTCAAAATTTAATATATCTATTTTAGGCCTTTTTTGAGCAGATCAATTGAAAATTTAATGTTTGCATTCTTAAAAGGGCAAGTCAACCCCAAATCAACTTTTTTCCTGATAAAACTATATAAATGTGTGTCTAATCGTGCTGCAGACACGTGTAGTCAATAGTTTTGCACTTTAGTGCATTTTAGTTAAAATTTAAATTTTCTGCCTAAAACTGTCAGTGTTGTGCTGTTGTCAGGTAAAAACTCTGCACTGCATTTGAATTTAGATCTGCCACTGCTATTGGCTAAGAGGTACCCTAGGATGTTAGCTGGTACCATATGATGTCACAATGTCGTTGTGAGTCTGTGTGTGTGTATTTGTTAGCGGCTCCGCCCTCTCGGTCTGCTAGGCAACAGCATTTGTTGCATTTTTTCAAACAGGAAGTGGGAGTTGAGTAATACTCTGGAAGGGGATGACTTGCTCTTTAAAAAAACATATTTTTGTGGCCCGCGAGGAGTTTTAACTTCATGATTTTGGCCATCGTCTTGAGAAGTTCAGACATCCCTGCTCTAGATAATAGATGTTCGTGATGGTGGCTACGAGCTCATCACACCTTAACAGTCTTGATTTTTATCTCTCCTCTGTAACTAGTGCTGAATTAAAACCGCAGCTGCATTGAGACAAAACTCTCAGACAGAAGCTGCTCCTGATGTGACCTACTCGTCTGCTCTTCGATGGCGTGAACCAGGTGGATGTCGTATTGCGTCACCAGTGTGATGGACACCCCATTCCTCCCTGCAGAGGAGGAAATTGTGTTTGTAATCGTAAGTGATCCAAACAATAGTTTCTACAGCACAGACACTGTTGTCATGCAAGAAGCTGCTGCAGGTTGATGGTACCTGCTCTGGCTGTTCGTCCGACTCGGTGAATGTAGATCTTGGGAAGCCCTGGGGTGTTGTGGTTAATGACGACCTGGACAGTTGGAATATCCAAACCCCTAGAAAATGTCAGAATAAAAAGTCCAGAACATCTCAAATCTGTCTGTAGGAATATTTTACATCTAAAAATGGAGCCGATCACAGAAGGGCTCCTTACCTGGCTGCTACATCTGTGGCAATCAGGATTTTATAGACGCTGGCCTTGAACTTGGCAAGGTTTGCAAATCGTTGTTTCTGGAGGAAATAAAGAGTCGTGTAATCATCTACATCTTCATGAGGTCAGTTCTGGTCTGGTTATGAAAATCACCTTCATGTGTTCTACAGGTGAGAACACGGTTCATCACCACCGTTTATCTGTCAGCTTTATTGAAGCTGCTGGTGTGGAGTTTATTAGAAATAAAAGTTTTTCAGCTACACTGTTGTTCTGACAAGTCTCACCTGCTTCATCATGGAGTGGAGGGAGATTGTTGGGAAGTAAAACTTCTGCAGCATCATGGTAAGAATCTGACAGTTCCTTAAAACATTAAAGAAATGTTTATTTACATAATTCATCTTTGCCTTTTTCTAACCTTCATCAACAAAATCATTTTACCAATTACTCATGTTGCATTTTGTTTAGTTTCTACTTTAGTGTGTTATTAAAAGGAACAGTAGGTAGATAGCAGCTTGCACAAAATGCTGCAGCTAAGCTGCTTCCACCCATCGGGGTCAGTTTGGCCGGGGGAGAATAGCGTCAGTTCGTTCTTGAACTGGCCGTTTTTGTTCACATATAGTTCCGAAGGAGTTCTAATACGGAAATGTGGGTGGCGTTTAACACACGTGGGAAAGTCTGTGGTGTCCTCAGTGAGATAAAGGCAGGGGTGAGCTGTGTTGCTTTTGGAGACTCTGAACCACATTATTTTATTAATTACAGGGTTGCGGAAGGCGCTTTATAAATAAAGCTTTGATTTTGATTTGAATTTGCTCCCTGTTCTCTCACTGCTGTGCGTGTCGCAACACAAACTGTCCTCCGCTTCTGCGGGCCGGGCCACACACACACACACACACACACTCGCTGCTCTCTCCTCCCATTAAGCAGCTGTAGTGAGAGCTCCGTGCAGAGATGTTCTTGCTGCTCCGGAGGACACACACACGGCTCTCTTTTCCCAATCCCACTAGGTGGGAGCTCCGTGCTACAGATAGAGATGTTTACTCAACAAAATCCAGGACGAAAATGAATCGCGCAAACGGGAACCCCCTGCTAGCTGAATCTACTCGCCAATCTGAGACGGTAGGCACAAATATCGGTCTGTAGTGACACTCAGTCCCCGTGTGACCTCCGAGGATAAGAACAGGAAGAAAACAAAAAGTCACCTCAAAACGGAAAGCGCATGCTTTTATCTCTTGCCTGTATTTGTTATATATATTACCTTGGTGGCCCTTGCATGGGTCCGAGATATTTTAAATTATTTTATGTTTGTACAGCACTGTGGTTCAGCCTCCTGGCTGATGGAAAGTGCTTTACAAAGATGATGAAGACGAAGATATTTCTTTGTTTCCCAGGGTCTGAAATGTATGCCTGACGTTTAAAACCCCTTCAAGTTTCTTACTTGCATGTGTTGGTGAAGATGATGATGGACCAGTCGTCATGCTCGTCAGTAAATGTCTGGATCAGGTGGACCAGGTAGGCGTCCTTCACCTTCTCTGGAGTGAGGATGTATCTCTGGTCTAGCTCCTCCACTGTCCGAGTTCTGACAGAATTTACAAGTTTGTGTAAAACTATTAAACATCCACTTACAGTCTGACGGCGGGGGGATATTTCAGACTTTATGCAAAAACTTTAGGGCAAATTTGGTTTTCAATTTACTCTTGTAGGTCACTCACTCTGATTTGCTCTCCCAAAAGAAAGGTTTGTTCATGGCGATGCTCTTCAGCTCTTGCAGGGTGTCAGTAAGTGTGGCGCTGAACAGCAACGTCTGCCGTTTGGCTGGTAAGATCCCCAGAATCACCTCCAGGTCTTTGGTGAAGTCAGTGCAACCCTGCTCCAACAGCCTGTCAGCTTCATCCAAAATCTGACTCACAAAATCAGGAAGCTGGTCAAAAAACAAACTATAAAAGGAACTATTTGAATAATAATAGACTACACTATTAAACCTGTGGACACTAATGTTTCAACTCTAATGTCAATAATCGGCTTTAATGAGTTTAGTGAGCAAATGATTCATTTACATTTGCTCTAAACGGAAGGGTTAATGTGCGCTTTTAAACAAGATCTCACCAGGAATTTGATCTTGGCCATGTTGAAGGTGTTGGAGCTGCGGATGTGATCGGCCAGTCGGCCCGGCGTTGCTACGACAATGTGAGGCTGATTGGACAGCTCAACAGCTTGACTCACCATGTCTTTTTCACAACACAAAGAGAAAACAAACAACCACACGCACACACAGTTTTAGATGCAGTAACAGTGGCTTTCATTGAGCTTTGTGCTGCCTGTTACAAAACCTATAATATGAGCGATCCTTACACATCTATGGGTCTAAAAACCGAAAAAACAAATTTTCCTGTCAATCTCAGACTATGAAACCTATCTAAAAACTGAAGAAGAAACATTCAAGAGAAAATCTAGTCTTTCCCATCTGTTCTACTGTGTGAAGGATGCATGTAGTTACCCATTCCACCGACGATAATGCAGTCCCTCAGACCCAAAGGCTTCCCCAGGACTCTGAACTGCTCTGCAATCTGGTAGGCCAGCTCCCTGTGTGACATCATTTTTACAATTTTTAAAAAATTTAAGAGTTGACATTTTTCACAACTGGCAGAAGTGGTCCTTCTGTGTAAAGATCACAATATTATCTATACACAATAGAGTAATTATAGCAGGTTTAGGGTATACACACACACACACACACACACACACACACACATACACATACACACACACATTATGCTGTAACTTTGATAATGAATAAATGAAACTCCTTTATGATGTGCAGTTGTGTGTCTAAGGACCTGGTGGGAGTGAGCACCAGACAGAAGATCCCATACGGGTCCTCTGACAGTTTCTGCAGCACAGGCAACACAAACGCTGCTGTTTTCCCACTTCCGGTCTTGGCACAGCCCAAACAGTCCCGACCTGTGGGAAGAGACAACCCTTTAACCAAGAACAATATGAAACCGTGGCATCGCTGAAAATGTATTGCGTACTCAGGAGTTATTGCGTCAAAAGTAGCGCACTTTAAACTTTTAATCGCACTTATTTCCTTTTACTTCTATAATATAGCAGAAACCCTCAAGTTTTGTGATGTTCCATAAATTGTCTAAAAAAACAACAACCCTAACCCATAGCCGAAACACAAACAAAGTAAACACGCACACACACAAACCATTTTACTTTAGGTAAACAATGTTTTACCTTCCAGGATGGCAGGGACGCAGTTTTCCTGAACAGGAGTGGGTTTGTTGATTCCCAGATGTTTACATTGTTTAACCAGCCAGTCAGACAGACCCAGGTCATCCATTATATATTTATCTGTTAAAAGTCCGAATATTGAATGAATCCGTTTCCCTGTTTTTACTTCAAATAAACATTTTAATGACTTGTTCGAGCTAAAATACTCTGACTAAAATGTCATCCTCGTGCTGAATTTAAGGTCGCTTTATTATGACGTAAACGCGACGGATGAAAATGGACGAAGTGTCGCTCTCTGCTGGTCGAATGTGACAACAACAGCTTTCTAACACAACACCTGTTAGTATTTGTAGCTAGCATAGCTGCATTCCAGCAGTAGCCTGTAGTTTGGACATTTTTAATCTCGGAAAAGTGTTTTTGTGGCAGTGCAGTTTTATGTTTGTTTAAATATAAATAGTGGTATATAACAGGGGAGTGTAAACAGATGTATTACAAGCCTAAAGCAGTAAATATTCAGTCTGAATAAGGGATGAACCGATATTTACCATGTAGTGTATATTAGCATCGGCTAATATACGTCTTTATTAGAGCATATTTAAAGCCAAACTCATACGTTAGCAGCCCTGGCTGTGCTAAAGAAGAATTTGATCTAAATGCATAGTTATGTTCCTGATAAACATCTGCTTAGCTCTAGGTAGGGCCATGGCAGTCATTCTGACTAGTAATTTAATCACTTTATCAAATAAAAACATACAGCCATGCTAGTACCTGACTTCTTCTAAATCTGTGTACATTTTTATTAAATTGGATTTTATGTTCATTGTCCAAAAGACAGACATAATATGATTATTTCTGTCTATTTGGTCTTAGCCATTTTGACTGCCAGAGAATTTCATGCTGGTTATCCTGGGCAAGAAAAAAGCAGAAGCCTCTCTGTTAATGTGCTTGGACACAGAGCTCTGACTGTGAACAGCCAGTCTCTCTAGCAATGACCTTTTGTGTCTTGCCCTCTTTTTTTTCTTGCATTAGTCTTAATTAATATTCTAATATTCTGAGATACTGAATGTGGGATTTTCATTAGTTGTCAGTTATTAGTGATGGGAATTCCAGCTCTTTTGAGAGAGCCGGTTCTTTTGGCTAAGCTCACCAAAAAGAGCCGGCTCTTTCGGCTCCCAAGTGGCTCCTCAGATTTTCTGTTGCGAAGAGTACATTTATAACCAAAATAATGCGAAACTATATGTAAAATCATTCACTAATTGAAAAAAATGCAATATATCAAATATTTATCATTTCTATGGATTTAATAACTGAACACTAAGAAATCTCCACTTTCCGACTGCTGGCGCTCATTTTCTCACTGTCTTCGTCGTACTTTCCTCTCTCTCTCGCCTTTTTCCTCCTCCTCATCAATCAATACTTTATTAATCCCAGAGGGAAATAAGAGTTTCAGTACACACAATTCAGAGATCAGACATACATGGGCAAGACACATGACAAGAATTGGTGACTATTGTCATTCGCAACCCGAGTTGCGCTACCTTAATAGAGATAAGAGGGTTACATTAGGATTGGTTCAGGTGGAGGGTTCATTCCCTCTCGTCTCCCTCCACCCCCATGTGCTCTGCTGTGTGTCTGAGTCTGATCCTCCGTCTTCCCCGCCCCCTACTGCTCTGTGTGTGGACAGTCTGGACATGCAGTTACACATGTTGACCAATCGCCTGTAGCTTTTACTAAAGCAAGAGGGGAGGGGGGAGGGGATGGGACGGCTCCCAATAACGAGCCGGCTCCCGCCGTTCACTTCAAAGAACCGGCTCTTAGAGCCGGTTCGTTCGCGACCGACACATCACTATCAGGTATAATCATCAAAACGGAATAAACATTTAAAATACACCAGTCTGTGTGTAATGAATGAATCGTCCGGCCAGCACACATAGGTGGGCCCCAAATGGAACCTATATGGGCAAGCTGTATGGGCCCCACCAGGGTTTGTCCGCAGTTTCCGTGGTGGCCCCACAGGGGTTTGCCCAGAGAGATCTTTGCCTACATAGATTTTAATGGGCCCTATCTGGGGTTTCAGAGGGTTTAGAATGTTTGTGGTTAAACCCCTGTGGGGTCACTGTGGAGACTGCGGACATACCCTGGTGGGACCCAAATGGCTTGCTCATGTAGGTTCCGGCGCCCACAAATTTAACTTTTTGAATGGAATTACTGAAACAATTCAACTTTGTCATACTCTAATTTTATGACCAGCACTTGTATTTAATTCTCCTCTTGTTTCTAGAGTTCACCACGGCCTTGCCCCATCTCATCTAGATTATTCCCTGCGTCTCCGGGATTTGATACTCCTGCATCACCTGAGTTGAAATAAATCCTTGTTTTTTGCGCTTACTCGTGGTTTGTGTGGAGATTCTGCATGTCTTGAGTAAGAACTTATGCCCAACAAGACAATTTGCAGTCCACTAATTGACCAGTTGACAATGTTTTTGCCCCTTAACTCTGATCTGGGCATAAAAAAATGCTATGAACAACAGTGTCAACTGGGACACCATAAAGCAACAAAGTATGGTATAGCTACTTGAGCACTTTAGTCATTTTTCACACTTTTTAAGATAAATCTGTAATTACCAAAGTTACTGAAAACTTTGAAGAAAACTTTAAGGTTTAGACCTCTAGATAGCCTTTGAATCCACCAGTCATGCAACTTTAAAACATTACAAGAATTATTTCTTTCTTGAAAGAAACTATAAAGAACTTAGTTTTTTAATGCACATTGCAAAAATGTTAAAGAAATAAACATAAACCCCGAAACCAAGGTGATTGAAACAGACGGAAATTCCTGTGAAAGTGCAATCACATACGATAACTCAAACAGGTGAGAAAGTCACATGATCTCCAATTCAAATGCAGAAATGTAATGTTTGGTAATATCATCTTTGGCCTCTAGATGGTGATGTCAATTAACCTAAAGACCCCACAAACCCATGCACATCTCTCAAACCTGATCAATGTCTGATCAATTATACATAGATACATTGTTCTGATCTTTAAAATATCTAATCAAACAACAAACTGTACAAGTTTATGATATTATGATTCTAATTCACACCTTTATATATATATATATATATAAAGTGTACATATGTATATATAAACTCTGAAAAATGTGAACCAGACTAGAGAGAATAGGCTACCATGTGGAAAAAAGAACAGCTCATACCACAAATGTTAATTCCTATGCTAGTTAATTTATTGGTACTTTGAGTTAATGTGGTGAAAATGTTCCTCATAAAATTCATGCAAATCCAAGATGGTATTTAAAGGGAGGGAAAAAATGTATTTTCCACTGCTCTGAAGTCAGTGTTCAGCAGGCATGGAAAATCATATATCATCCTACTTCTTGGCTAAATTTTAAACCATGCTAACAGGCTTGGGCTGTGCGTGTGTGTGTGTGTGTGTGTGTGTGTGTGTGTGTGTGTGTGTGTGTGTGTGTGTGTGTGTGTGTGTGTGTGTGTGTGTGTGTGTGTGTGTGTTGCTGAGTGGGGGCTAATCTTAGTGCTGGGCTTCTGAGTTTTCCTCCTCCTCCTCTTTGCCACCCACACATCTCTTCCATATACCAACGGCGCTGCACTTGGCAGCCAATCACTACCTCTCCTCCTCTGTATTGCTTTTACCTGCGTCACTGCACATGTTGCCATGGTGATCACTGATGCTCCCCCCACACTCTGTCTCTGCTCTTCCAGTATGAGGATGAAGCAGACTTGTGGCTGGTGATGCAGGAAGGCTGCAGACGTCATCGCTCCCTTGGGGGGGCTATTTTTACTGGTGGGCACAAAGTATACCAATCTGCCAAACATATTTATGGAAGCTCATTTAATCCTTGCCTGCCTGGGAGCACATCGCTCCACTCTCTCGCTTCATTTCCTTCTCAGTTAATCTGACAATTTGTGATTTCTTTGAGTACTCTTCCTCTTCTAACTTGTGATGCTTTACCTGTGATGATACACTGTCATCTAATGGAGGTATCAGATATGATGACTCACCCTTAAGAGGACAGCCAGGGGTAAGCAGTGGCACACAATGGAGGAATGACATTTGGTTTTGCAATTATCAGAATTACAACACCCAAAAGCCACTGACTGGTCAGTGTGCTGACAGAGACAATGACTATTATATAATGGTAGTTGTTATAGAAAGTTTCATTTGATGAAATGGAGAAGAACAGTAAACCAAGTTACATGAAAATCACAAAATATGCAAGATCTTATTTTAAAAAGCTAAATAATCCAATTGACCTCTACTGTTAAGTGTTTGCCTAAGGTGTTTTATTGCTGCCTAATGGGTCAGCAGGAGCTGTTGCATGCAAGCTGAACATCATATCATACTTGTATAACAATAACTGGTGACGGCAAATGACTGAAGCGGTAACTATTCTAAGAGGACAATCAAGTTATAAGAGCCACACGATTACCCTTCTTTTTATTTACAAATGAAACTGTGGTTAAAAAATTTAGACAACTAAAACATGATGAATACCATCTGGGGGATTTACATTCCTGACAACTTATTAAAAAAGGTTCCTGTGGTAATCTTGTATTTTTTATTACTTATTTGGTTTAGGGTAGTGCACACTGTAATACTTTTCATAATACAATTTCTCCTTTCTTTACCACTAAGAGTGTTCAGTTTTCTTTATTGTAATTACCAAACCCTGCCAAAAAAAAAACAAAATTGAGCCGTCCATGGGACAGACAGTAAAATGTATCTATACATTGCCCAAAGTATTGTCAGGATAAAACTTTAAAGCCATAAAGTCATAAAGTTAATCAAACTACAACAAAATTCTGCAGTAGGCCATCAATGAACTTGACATACACAGTTGTGTTTATTCGTCAAGGACTCGGAAACTTGGAAGTTGTGAAAGAGATGATAATGTCAATCAATCAATCAATCAATCAATCAATCAATCAATCAATCAATCAATCAATCAATCAATCAATAAATCAATCAACCAATCAATCGTGTTGCTAATATTATGTTTTAAAGGGGTTAAATGCTGTGCGTGTTTTACAAGGGGCCATTATGGTCTGCATTTTTGAAGCCAACAAGGAAGTGGCAAAAATTGCAGTTCCACTCTCATCCGCTAGGGGCTGGCACCAGAAGTGAGCAAATCCTCATTGACTCCCATGTTAAATGTCTATTTCACAGCAGAAATAAACATGTTTACAGCCTGGTTCAAAAACCATTTTAGGTTTAATGGATCTAGTTTA